TAACTTTTTGTTCCGGCTAATCTCTGATAATGCTGGACCTAATTTGACGGGACTTTTTTTGGCAAGTAGCTGTTGTAATGAGTCACTTAGGATACCTTTATTTTTGAAATGAATTTGAAAAATAAAATTATATTCCACGCTTACGAAGTCGCGGAAATAGCTAGTCTAGCTTACCAACAATAAATTGTTGGTAAATATACAATGCTGGAAATGACACAAAAGCATATTCTTTGTGAATCTATTTCAAATGACAAAATGTTCAATTAGTTCTTTCGGTCTAATAGTTAGTTCCAGTTTATAAAGGACTTTTTGTAGAAATAACATCACTTTTTGTCATATTGGCAACCCGTTTCATTAAACTGTTGAGCATTTTGACAAATGGAACATATTAGTTTTGTTTTATTGTTTCTTAATTGACCAGTTCCGGTGTTAGTTTTAAAGAAGAGACCCTAACAAATAACAAAAAATAATTAACTAAATTGTTATTTTTAGATGAAAAATATATTGTTGTAGACTGTTTTGCTGACGGTAGTTTTACATGTAGATTCATGTAACTGTTCTAATGCCTACATCTAAGGCATTCCATGCACGGTTAGCTTTGGGGAATTGGCAAATGATTGATGTTTACACTAAATACACACTCATATACATTTATATATATATATATATATATATATATATATATGAGGTACCTGTTGTCCAAGAAAAACATTCCTCTTTCATGCAAAAACTACTGATCTGATTTCGATGAAACTTTACAGTATATAAGTTCATTACAAATGAAAAGTCAATGCATATTCTAACCTATTAGCTTTTTGTATATGTTCTCTATATAAAATTTTGTTATTATTACTTTCAACTCACAAACTAAGCAATAGTACAAGTGCTATGGGTACTAGACAGCAGATAGAGATACTTAAATATTTAACAAATGCCTATCATCGTTCAATATAGTATAAATATAAGGTGTTAAAGCCAGGGCGAAGATTTGAGGGATGGTTGATAGATTTATAAGAAATCGATACTTAATACATAATCTGAATTTGTTTTTTTTTAACTTTATTTTTAATTATGTACCTATACTCGGCCTATTTATGCGGTCTAATTATGTACCTATATACTATATGTACTCGCCAATGCACATATTTATAGGCTGCTAGTTACAATTTAGTTTTTATATATAATTGTACATAAGGACTATCGTATTCCAAAAAATGTTACAAAAAACTCTGGTATTTTTGTTTGTATATAATTAGTTGTTTGTTCATCCCATTTTCTGCGTTACCTACATCTTTCAACGTCTGTCACTAAAATGGAAAACACGAAAATTGTGGCCGCCGAGTGGCTGTCCAAAGAACCCTTCCTTTGCCGCGAAAAAACAAAAATATTGTCTATTTCCTTGAGGGGTGCGGTCATTTATTATCTGTGAGGTGGACGAAGGCGTTGACACCTGGATACCCACAGATAATGTTAAATGAATAGCACTTCCGAATTAGATACGGCAGTTTTTCGAAACGTGTTTATTTTTGTTATTTTAACAACTTTAGTGGTTTGGTGGTTTAGCTCCTTACTTCTGATGGTCGCGGGTTCCATTCCTTGCACGAGCCAAACATTTGTATTATGTTTGTTTTATAGGCTTTATGGTTTTTCATGTAACTATAATTATATAAGTATTTACAAAAAAGTGTATTTAGTTTTGTTTGGCGGCTGTAATAGGCGACACTGAGGTATTCGATATATTAGAAAGTCTGTGCCGGTGATATTAATAATTATATACTCATACACAGTAGAGTAAAATTTCGTTTAAACAGAAATTGCGGGAACATTATTAAATTTGAAACTTTTTTTACTGTCTTTCTACCTTTTACACATCTTTCTGTTATTTCCCTATAGTTCTCTCTCTCTCTCTCTCTCTATATATATTCTTACTTTTAATTTCAATTAAAGTTAAATAAATAAAAATAAATATTGAGATAAAAATATAACTTCTTATATATTTGGCTGAGGCCCATACATATTAAAATACCTGTGGAAGCAAAGGAGAAAAATAGCAAAAAAGAAATACTATCATAATATTTATAACTTTATTGTGCGCAGAAAATTATTTACAAAAAAAAGAACTTAATATAAATGAGCTAACAAATCGCTTAAAGCAATCTATTACAGACAACTTTATGTGAATAACAACTATAACGGATCGGTGGACTGTATGGGTGTCTAAATGATGAAAACACGTAGTTTGCAATAATAATATATTAATATGTGCAATTGCGAACTATACGAAAGACAATGATAGAATAATTGAAATGTATCAAAAAACATGACGTATAAAAAGAACTGTTCTAAAAATATAGATTTAAAAATAATAAAACTATCAAAAGAGATTGCGGCGGCCGGTCGCCAACAACAACAACACTTTAATAGTTAACTTTTTCGTTACTAAAAAATATAATATCGTGTACCTTATTCTTTTTTATCCTTATATAATAAGTTACAATATCACTTACAATTCAAGTAGGTAATAAAAAATATATATATTTTTTTATTAATTGTCATTACGTTAACATATAATTATTTATTAAAATAACAAATAGCTATTATACCTATATAGTGCTGAAAAACGTAGTTTCTTGGGTCACCTTGTCAAAAATTTGTCAAGCGCGAAAGCCACTAATAAATTGAGAGTTCGGTCGAATAACGTAAAGGAGTTGTTATTTTATTTTATGTACAAGATATACGTTAGTATAATAATAATAATATCTCAGGACAATTCACACAGCGCCATCTAGTCCCAAGTTAAGCTGCCTAAAGCTTGTGTTATGGGTACTAGACAACTGATATGAATACATAGATATTTTTTATAAATACGTACATGATATAAATAGAAAACACCCAGACCGATACAAACAATCACACTCATGTATACAAATGTTTGTGCCGTGCGAGGAATCGAACCCGCGACCATCGGAACTAAGGCTATTCTGAATAGGTGTGCTATTTCCTATATCGGCTCATTCATACTCCTCTAGTATGCTTAGTCGTAAAACGTGCTGTACCATTTAAAACTAAGATGTCCATTGAGTTTACTTGTGGATCATTCGTGTTTGTTATCTCTTGAAAAACTTTAATTACACTTGCCTATGTTTTATTATGTTGGTTTACGACCGTATATAGAATAAATAAAAATAGTGAGTGGACTGTATTTTTTAATAAGAAAATAATTATTGGAAAAAGAAAGTGATATACGATTTCGCCCGGGAAGAACGCCTTCCACACTCCGAACACTCCAAAGTAAGCAATGCAGCACCAAACTTACTCACCTTTGCTCAGGAACGTCCCTATGTGTAACACGCTTTAGTTGCCATACACTTTAGACCGTAGATTTTTATAAAAACAATGATATTGCAATAATTAAATCAATAATTTTCTTGTTTTAAATAGTTAAAAATACGGTCCTTTTACTCCAGTTCTTATTTTCAATTTACTTTTTTTTCTATATTCGAAATTTAAGTGGCCACACAGTTTTATTTATGGCCAGTATTACCAAGCGCCCTTGGCTCTAGTAAGGTGATACAACCTGCTTGGCCTAAGTAATTTCGGAATACGGATCATATTAGTATGTTACTTATAAAGAAAGGAACCACAATCATTATCCAAAATTTATATTTATAAACATCTGTGTACACATATAATGTAAATTTGATAACGTGTGTTGATTCACGCGTCATTTTCTACTAAAGGTAATTTTGAGTTGGATAAAAAAGAAAACACAGTTGTACATTCATTAAGTTGTGATAATTAGTAGTACATTGGTTTTTAATCAATATATTCATCAGTCATTTAAATTAAGAGCAGAATTGATATTAATCTTGAAAATAAAATCTGTGAAATTTCCACTTCATAAATGAAAGAAACTGCATATATTTGCAGTTTAGAGTCAGAATATTTTAAAAGCAGGTACAGTACATTAGTATTTACATTTATTTAAAATAAAAACATGCAAAGATTAAATAAAAAGTACAATCAAATTAAAACGCATAAATAAGTTTGGTTTTTAAATATTTCTCCGAAACTGTGTTACCTAGAACACAGATAAAATAATATTACATAGCTAGAAGCGTTTTTCTATTTTCCTGTAATTTTTTAATAAGTTTTATGGATTGAAATATTTGTTTTATAAAACCTTCAGAGATAGGGATGGGCTGCCGGTCTTATTGCATGAAGTGATGAGGCACAGAGCGCCGGTGTTAGTTGGATGTGTTCGGTCTATTCATGTTCATTCTGTTTATGTACCTACTTACTTGTAATATAATAACGTTTATTTTATGTTCAGTGCAATGTATCTCTAGTTATATCGTGGATTACTATAATTAATAATAAGGCTAAGATTGGTAAAATTGTAAATGTAAATTAGTAATACAAGCTGTTGTTATCCCGGAAATAAATAAATAAAAAAAAATATATACTTTAACTAGCTATTTGCCCCGGCTTAGCCCAGGTGTACATGTATTATATATATAAATCTTCCTCTTGAATCACTCAATCTATTTAAAAAACCTTGCGTAGTTTTAAAGATTTAAGCATACATAGGGACAGACAGCGAGAGCGACTTTGTTTTATACTATGTAATAATGATGTTGATAATAGAATTGCAATATATTTATTATTCACGACTAAAATTTTGAATGTTAACGTACTAACATTTTTCTATTAATAAACTATTCTTCAGATTTGTTTTAGTACATATTTACATTAATATTATAAATCTGCAAAGTATATATGTATATCTGTTTGTTTATTACCTTTTCTCAAATAAATCTGTCCTCTTCTTACATTAAAGTGGAACGATTAGTAAAAAAATAATAATTAAAAAACATTTTTATTTCTGGAAGAGGGTCTTATGTTATTTGTATTTATATTATATTTCTACTTATATCAATTTCAGCATGTAACATCAGATATCATCAATAAATATCAGCTGACCATCTTTACAAAGAATAATGGCCAACAAATACTTCCTGCGACAAGTACGTAATTTTCTTTATTTTTTATCTAATCTCTTTTTTCCATAGATTCATAAAATTACTAGCTACCTGTACATGTACTATATATATAAACCTTTCTTTTGAATCATTTTAGCCATTGGTAAAAACTGTATTAAAATCCCTTGCGTAGTTTAAAAGATCTAATCGAAAAGACGGTGGAAGCGACTTCACTTCATTTTATACTATTTAATGATTAACATCCAATACTATCTGCTGTTTTATAACAGTGTTATAAAGTAGGCAAGGAAATAATAACTAGTAGACGTGTTCCAGAGTGGAAACCGCGAATTGGCAAACTTAGCGTATGACGGCCAACGGCTAGGTAGAGCGACGGCTTACGTAGGGTTGCAGGTAATAACTGGACGTGAAGGACTGAAGATCGTACCGAGTTGCGTGCCTTGGGAAAGACCTATGTCTAGAAGTTGACTGTAAAGGACTAATGATGATGATGATGAATAATGGTGATGTATATTTTCTGTTTTAGAGTTTTATTGCATTTGGCTTCATCACGCATGGATTTTGTGCAGGCATGGCGATAGTGTTTATTTCATCATTAAATTTAGCACTCCTATCGCCAGATGCTACAGAGATACGAGCTACGCCTGATCAGACTTCTTGGTTAGGTAATTAATTCATTATATACCTAATACTATTTTTTACCTCAATGGTCAAAGATATAGCCTGCATAAATCTCTGGGCAATTCACAGTCACATCTAATCCCAAGCTAAGCAGAGCTCGTGTTATGAATACTAGAAACTGATATAAATACTTAGATACATATGCAATAACAGATTACTAAAGACATGAGGAACGTATTAAAAAGCCCATAATTGCTGTAGTGCATTAAGAGTTTAGTTTATTAAACTTTATAAAACAAAAATAATTAACTATAAAAAAAGTGAACTGATTGTTTAAATTTAAAAATTAAAATACTTATTTTGTTCTTTCAGCTTCTTGCAATACCATCACAGGTTTGATCGGCTACTTTACAATCCCGCCAATAATGCAAAAATATGGCCGAAGAGTAATAAATATTGGTACAGCTGTCATTTACTCCATTGGCTGGTTAATTTATATCTTCGCCAATAATATATTGACCCTTTTTATAGCCAGATTAGTCCATGGAATATGTTTAGGAGCGATTTACATCAACTGTGTAATAGCGAGCGAATATTCCGACCCAAAACGAAGAGGTTATTTAGTGGCAATCAAAAAGATGTTTTCGTTAATAGGAGCTTTCTCTTGTCATGCCCTGGTGCTGTGTTGGACGTGGAGACAGATTGCTATATTTGCAATATTTCCAAATTTATTAATAATTATTAATGGCTTCTACTGGCCAGAGAGTCCGTCCTACTTGGCAATGGTAGGAAGATTCGAGGAGTGCAAATATTCCTTCTATTGGTTACACGGAAAATCCGTAGAGAAACAAAACGAATTGAAGATATTAATGGCCGCTCAGACTGAAAGAATCCTAAAGCATAATAGAAATAATTGTACTTCTCCAATAGAATTGTTATATGCATTTCGTGATAAAGTATTTCTAAAAGCATCTCTAGTGATGTCTGTATTGATATTTGCTGTAGATGTATCTGGAAGGTTATATCTTTTTACATATGTTATACAAATTATGAGAGAACTCGTGACCGACGAAGCGATTGCTGGTTACTGTACACTAATTGTTGATTTGTTCACAATAACCGGATCTATTATATCAGTTTTTGTTATACACAAATTGAAAAGGCGTACAGCACTTTTGTTTTCAGGCATTTTGACAGCTATACTAATGTTGTCAACAAGTTTGTTAATATTTTTAAAAGAACAATACAAAATACAATCATCACTAACGTGGATAATACTTTCTATTGTTATGTTACAAAATTTTGTATCTTACATAGGTTTTATACCAGTTACATATAATATTGCTGGAGAAATATTTCCTTTAGAATACAAAGGTATTGGATCGTCTGTTACTGGAATATCGTATATGTTATTTTATTTCGTAACTATGAAATTTACACCGTTTATTATAGATGGTACAGGATTACAAGGGATGTATTTAATATATGGGATATGCTTGTTATTATGTATACTTGTGTTGTATTTTATATTATTAGAAACTAAGGATAAGACATTGCAAGATATTGAAGATGAAATCAAAGGGGTGAAGAGGTCAGCAATAGAAATGAAACCGATGTTAGATGGAACCGTAAAACTGATTGCGTAATAGGTATTATTTTTGCAAGTAGTTTCGAAAACATACTATTAGATACACGATATTCAGTTGTGAATAATGAACACAATGAATGTGAATGCAGTAGAAGGATTCTTTATATTTTTAGATATGGGACATGAAACTGCAATAGACTTAAATATTACTAGCCAAACGGCACATTCTCACTAATGTAATCATTATAATGATCTATAATTTAATTGAAATAAATGCATCCCATGTTACTCACTGATGATTTGTTCTATGTGAATCAATTGTTTTCACTTTTGTATCATGTACTGTAGTTTATAATAGATACACAGACATTTACACATGTCATTGGCTGTTAGTAAAACCTTTTTTTTCTACAATACTGGCGTACTTTTCTACAATACAGGCAATAATGCGCTTAGTAAGCGCATTATTGCCTGCCATAGAAGAAACAATTGTAATTAAATTGAAAGATATTTTTTTCAGACTATTTAACTTGTCTATGACAAGCTTGACTACGAACGCCATAAGCTGATTGTCAATTGTCCTTTTTTTAATTATAAAACCAGATAATATTTCAATTATAAAGTAATGTATATATTTGTATTTATACCTATGCAAAATGTAATTTTTATTTTGTACTAAAACAGACAAAAAATGGCGAAGTAGGATAATAGTCATAAGATAACGTTATATAAATATTTTATTACAGATATATTTTCAATACCGGCCTTTTATCATTTCTAGCTTATTACAAACTATTAGATAGAAATCAATCAATTGTTTTAGTCATTCAAATTTTGTAGATAAACAAACATTTAAAACTACCTTAAACATAGTAACAAATTTTGACATAATAAATCTTCTGGGTAAGCGCGCTACATCCTAGGTTTTGCCATCATTTACCATCAGATGAGGTACGACCAAGCGCAATCTCATTATTAATAAAAAAAAACATAAATCTATACGCACTGATGTCGGCAATATTGATTATAATAATAATGAATTTGGTAATATTAAAGTTACTTACAAATATTATATTTATTTAATAAAGATCCTGAAAAGATGAACTTTGGTTTGCGAAAGAGATACGATTCATCGTAACCGATCGTGGCATATGCATAGATATAAAAATAACGTAAACAACAACAAATAATATACAACAAACACTGTTAATTATATTCGCAAAATCGTTCCAAACTTCAACTTTGTTTCTTTCTACATCATCAGAAATAACAATTCCTGATAGATCAACTTCCCAACGTGGTACTATAAAGAATTTTGCATGGCTTTGCAACACTGAATTGTTGGTTGAAACAACCCACATTGGAGGCACGGCTTTCTTACTTTGCAAATAACTCAAAAGGGAGGTCAGTATTAAAACCATCATTGTCACTAATACTGAACCGCGGACGTATAACAAAATTGAAGGTGTGTCCATACTGTGCTTAGGGATGTATTCGTTAATCGTTGATAAGTAATAGAAATGGCATAACAAACTGAAAGTGGCTATACCCAATCTTATATTATCCCTCACTTCCAACAGCAACAGTGACAGAGTAAGCACAGATAACAGAATAGTTGGTATAACTACGATAGCGGTCAGTCCTGCCGCTTGCCTCTCCAAGAAGAACGTAAGTCTCAGTTGCGTATCTTCATCCTCATGTTCTTCCTGTTGGTAATTTATAATAGTCCAACCAGTGCCATATTCTGCTCCCATTATTGTCATGGCGTTTCCAGGTCTGAAGGCGAATTTGATTTTGTCACGTCTAGTCCAAGCACCAAACTTAAGGGTACACTTTTGGATATCAAAAGGCCAGTTAACTAATCTAGTGTTGCATATAGTTTCGTGGACCACTTTCGGAAAACAGTATACGTATCCCATATTTCTAATAGTGCATAATCCGTAGTAGTGGTCGAACTCTTCCCAATCGACTTCGTTAAGCAATCTTAAACCAGGAGACCAAATTGAGCCGCTCGACACGATGGACTCCGTGATCTGGTCGTAGTTACTTTCGTTCCATTTCAGTCTTTCGTCTTTCCAACTTATAAACATCCAACTGTAGACCTTAAACGTTTCCTCTTTAGAGTCGAAACTAAAAGACTTCATGATGAACTCGACTTCTACTTCGGTGTTATTGCCGTCCGGTGACTTAGCGGTGTCGTAGTTGCATGATAAATCCTTTTGGAGTTGTTGTTCCCATGAATTTTCACGAGATCTATAGTCTATTATACAGTCATCTGCCAGACCCAAGCCGAAAAGAGATAAAACTAGTAAATGTACAATCCAAATCATGGTTATGACTACACTGCGTAGTTTATAACTATAAAAAGTGATATGTAATATGTACATGTGTGTCTGTATCGAGTTACACGTGAAATTTTAACACATGGCTATGAAAGATTAAATTAATAACCTATTAACAAAATACTTGTATTTGTGTATCGATTCGCGGAAGAGGATCCGATTGTAGTGGTGTGCAAATACGCAAATGATTCTGTTTTCATCTGATATAAGTTAAATGTGAAAGAACTATTATTTATTTATTTAAACCTTATTGAACTAACTATAAGGTACAAAAAGGAGTTGTGTATGGGTAGATTAATTGGCAATTTTTTCCAAATACGGTAATAACCCAACTGGATGATAGAAATATTAATAAAATACTGTTTTCATATAAGACGAAATGTTTAGAACTAAATGGACCGATTTTAATAATAATTGTGTATATTTCCGGATATTTTTTTTAATTTGTGGTCCATAAGTGACTAAAAATGTCCCCTAAAAGCGCACGTTCACGCAGGCACACGTACATACTATATATACATTTTGAATTAATTACATAAAGCCAACTCCCACTAGTTCCACTGAAAATCAGCGTTTGGGCGTTACAGCCTGACACAAAGCTGAGTGGTAACCAATTCGGTCGCAGCTGTATCTAATTATAAAACTATGTTTATATATAAATAAGTACTCTTATACTAAGGGTAAGTATGCTTTAATAAACGTTGCTTTTTGAGAATTTGTTCTCTCTGATTGCCTCGTTAGGGATCTAGCGTAAAGATAAAGATGTATAGAACAAAATCTTGTGTAGACAGGTAAGAGTGCTGACACATGAGAGAAGGGAAGGAATAAGGTAACATTAATGTTATTTTTTCTCTCAAGAAAGTCATTAATCAGCCCACCGCCTGGATGACAGGACGTCGACCGTTATCTTCACGGATTTTTATACAATTTCATGTTGTTGTATTAGAAACGAAACCAATAAACTTATGTTTTATGTATGGTATAATTTCACGCTTTGACACTGAGAATTCGACCAAAAATAAAGCACGCTTAACGTTCTTTTTGTTTTTTTGTGGGTCGACTCTCGAGCCTTAGTGTGGTGTTCAATGGCTTATAACCTCCTCAATGTTTAGGCTATCAATAAAGTACCAAACTCCTTAAGTATGTATAAAGCTGTGAGGGTTAAATTAAAGTAGTAGTAAGTAGGGACCTCTATTTCTTTAAATAACTAATTGTTTTGCCTGTGAATAGTGTGAAATTATAGGATACGGATGCATGTCATATTGGTTTTCGGATTAACAACGCAGGAGGACTCAGGCGTCATATAATATAATATAATATAATATAATATAATATAATATAATATAATATAATATAATATAATATAATATAATATAATATAATATAATATAATATAATATAATATAATATAATATAATATAATATAATATAATATAATATAATATAATATAATATAATATAATATAATATAATATAATATAATATCTTTAGGGCTGTTCATGTATTTAACGAACGGTAACCACTTACCATCTATTGGTCAGACAGTCGATAGGTACTTATTAAAGTTATATGTAGAGTTGTATTACTATTACACTGTTGTAATTAACCGGCTCATAATACCAATACTGATATGGTAAATAAAGCTATTTACCTCTCTTGATGTTTCGACTAGGTTGCACTATCCATGGTCACAATTTAACTATATAGCATTACCGATGACGGTAGATGTGAGCAGTTCAAATAATTAAATTTCATTAGACATTCTGTCTGTCGTACAATTTTAGGCTGTCCAATGAAGATGACACAGCACTTACGGTATCCGTACACTTAATAACCGATGTTAAAATGAGTTTAATACATTTTTTTTTCCTGGTATATCCGTGATCAGTATTTTTACTACAATCGGATTGGTTAGCAGATGACAATGAGAGTCTGCAGTCCATTCTGTGCAAGACTTCTTATTTAATGACGCCTTATAGCATACATTTATGAATTTATGCCAGAGGGCGTCCTCGGAGGAGTGACGGCCTCGGTGGTCTAGTGGTTTAGCACACCGTTTTACTTCTGATGGTCGCGGGTTCGATTCCTCGCACTGCACAAATATTTGTATACATGACTATGATTGTTTGTATCTATCTGCGTGTTTTCTATGTATATTATGTATATATTTACGAAAAAAAATCTATGTATTTGTATCAGTTATCTAGTTCCCATAACACAAGCTTTGGCTAGCTTAACTTGGGTCTAGATGGCGCTGTGTAAATAGGTCTTAAAAAATAAAATTAAGAACTGGACTGTTGTTTATCCAAAACCAGTAGATGTGTTTTTTCAGGCGTTTCAGTTAGAAGCCTAGGTAGTTCATTAGGATAGACACTCAGCCGAGCCTTGTATTTTGAGCATTTGCTAGCAAACTCCTCTCGCCCTGTGGGTTAGTTTAATACAAGTAAAAAACAAATCTTTATAATAATAGTTTAGAATAAAGATATCAAGTGCATTTTCATGTTAGTCTGCAATATCCACAGTTAGCTATATCAAAATGCAGGTTAATTGACAGAGAGACGAGATGACGTGCATAAATAATGAATATCCATATATAGGCATTCCTAATATGCAAATAATATTTTTTGTGAACCAATTTTTGTTTATTCCGGTAAACGAAATAACGCTAGCTTTGGACAGCTGTTGCCAAAATTGATAGATTAAAATAGAAAATCCTTTATTCAAATAAACTTAATTTAATCACTTTTGAATATCCTTCTTCACTTTGGAGTATCCTTTTGAGTTATCCTTCTTTTAATCTACCGCTTATTCGGAATGCTGTTTCATCACAAGAAGAACGAGCTTGAAAGTTGCGTGTTGCTCTTTTAAATAATCGATTTATTTAAAAGACCAACACACCATCATGCGTAATGGTTAGTCTATGTATATATGTATATCCATGCATTAAAGATTATGTTTTATCTCACGACAATTCACACATCGCCATCTAGTCCCAAGCTAAGCAGAGCTTGTGTTGTGGGTACTAGACAACTGATATAAATACATAGATGCTATTATTTTTGTAAATAAATACATATTTTTATAAACTTTAAAAACAATATATCTATTTTTTTTGTATGTCACTTTTGACCATATATTGTTTTGTTAAACCACTAGACCGTGAGCCCTTTCAATTAAAAAACATTTTTACTATTTAGTTTTTATTAAAATAGTATTGTGTTCCCATCCAGTAACAGATGCTATTTATTTGATAGTCTCAATGAAATAACACACCACTTATACATAGAAAACGATTCCCAGACCGGTACAAACAATAATGAGTATGATTGTTTAATACAAATGTTTTCTATGTACGAGGAATGAATCTACAAAACATTAAAAATATCTAAGTTGGTATGCTAACACAAAATGTGCTAGACCGCCGAGGCTGTCAATTAAAAAAATCTATTTATTAGGGCTATTCATAGTCAGACTTAAATTAATTTATTCCCATAGTATTTTAGCACTCTTTGCTATATATTTGATAGTCTCAATGATCTAGCGGTTTAACACACCACTTCACTTCCGATAGTCCGGGTTCGATTCCTCGCACGGTACAAACATTTGTATTTATGAGTATGATTGTTTATATTGATCTAAGTGTTTTCTATGTACATTATGTATGTATTTACAAAATATTAAAAATATCTATGAGTTGTATAGTGTACCCGTAACACAAAATGTGCTTAGCTTGGACTTGAACTTGGACTAGATGACGCTGTGTGAATAAATTTAAATTCAAATTTAAAAATCATTTATTCATGTAGGACATTTTAGCCGCTTATGAACGTCAAATTTTTACATTTTAATTTTAATTTTTTCCTAACGTCAGTTTAGTATATAAACTCAATTGAATTACTTTTTTGCTCGCAGCCAGTTTATTTACAATGTATATTTATATAGGTGTCTATGTCTAACATTAAATGAAAATTCAGTGCATGAACAACTATTGCTATGCACATTGTCATTCAAGTAATCGTTTAGTGAGTAATAGGTTTTGCTCAGTAAATATGATTTAACAGATGTTTTGAATTCACACAGGGTAATTCCAACATATCCTTTGGTATTTTATTGTAAATTTTTATACCTATTCTCATAAAAGACCTTTTAACTTTTCTAAACGATACTTGGGGACAGCAAGTTTGTCTTTAAACAAGGGATATTATTATTATAGATGTTTGGCTAAAGAAATATGTGAGACACCCATGCAGATGACTTTGTACAGTCTACAACTATAAATAAATTCTTAATATTAAACCAATAATGTGAACAATAAATAGTGTCGTCCTACCCTGCATTGCTGTGTCTGATTATATATTACTAGCTGTCCCGGCAAACGTTTTGCCTTAAAATAAAATAAAAAGTTAGGGCTGGACTATCCCTAAAATTTAGGGGGATGAAAAATAGATGTTGGCCGATTATCAGACCTACTCAATACGCTCACAAAATTTCATGAGAATCGGTCAAACCGTTTCGGAGGAGTATGGGAATGAAAACTGTGACACGAGAATTTTATATATAAGATAATCAGATTCAATATCATCATTAATCACACAAAACAGATATTGAAACATTTATCAACAAGCAAAATTCATTTTTGGTACCTTACGGGCCTAACCTTCGTAATAAATTACTTACTGAGCCGGACCTACTTCATAATCCTTACTATCCTTACTTAATATTATAAATAAGAAAGTAACTCTGTCTGCCTGTCTGTCTGTCTCGTTTCACGCCAAAACTACTGAACTGTCTAGATCTTGAGAAAGGACATAGGCTAATTCTTGAAGCGAAAAAAGGGTTGTAAGGGGTTGAAAAAGGAGATGAAAGTATCGTAATTTTTAGAAGCTTGAAAATTATTTTTTGAGCTGTTGATTAAATATAAGTAAATATGACATTCAAAGTTTGTAAAAATTTTATCCTTAAGTAAAATAGGGGATGAAAATATGTTG